ACACACACACACACACACACACACACTTTTGTCTTCATCTGTTTTTCTTCCAGTGATCCAGACGTTCCTGTAGTTTTTAATCTGGTCTGGATTTAGTCGTTCTGACTCTGAGTTTAGGAGACTCTTAATGTCCGGGTCCTCCGAAGGACCCAGCCTACCTAGTCAAGGTGGGCCGGGTCCTCGGGAGACCAGGAAGACCGGAAAAAAGTGTCTGTGAATTTGGACGGTCTAGCCTCATGTCCTTACCCCAGTGTACGTCATGTCGCCTAGCGAGCGTGACGACACTAAACAGAAGCAAAATTAGATCGAAATTAGAAAAATATTAATATATTCATATTTTACACTAATGCATTATGAATATCGCAAAACAATCAAATTAACTTAAAGGTAATATTTGAAGAACTATTGGACCTGCCATAGGTGCATGTTTATTTCACGTTTTTTTCTGACAAAAATAGAATTAAAAACACGTCTATAAATGATAAAAGTATTAAAACATAACTGCTAGAAATTTTTAATTTTCATACCACCATATTTTTATTTAAAACGTATTATCTCGCTTCGTCCACCATTACTACCAAAAAAAAAATAAAAATCTCCAGTCGGGCTGCAATGCATTATGGGATATGGTGGGCCAGGAAGGATCCATCAGACCAGTCCTTTGATTCGGGCCAAAGGAAGGACACACCTGTCGGCTGCATCAGAGGAGCCTTCGGTTTGGGACGGCCTCTGTCACGACACTGTGACGTAAGCAGCCCATGAATTTGGCCTTCAGAGGACCTGGCCCACAGTTTGGGCACAGCCGATGTCTGTTAGAGTCAGGGGTCAGAGGTCAGGGGTCAGAGGTCAGGTCAGGGATCAGAGGTCAGGGGTCAGGTCAGAGGTCAGGGGTCAGAGGTCAGATGTCAGGTGACTCATGGAGTTTAAGATATTAATACAGTGAAATATCAGAATATTAGATTTCCTGACCCTGTCTCATTTTTAAATGAAGGTTTAATGATGATGTAAGATCCTGATGCTGGTCTCACTGTTCAGGTTTTCCTGACAGAAGCTCAGATTTGAATGTTGGAGTTTGTTGGTTTTAAAGTTAAAATAATCAAAGTTTCTGGATTAAATGTCCTGAATCCATCCTGGACTCTCTGAGGCTCAGAGACCTGCACCTCCTCCTGTTTTCATCACACCTGTTTCACCTGTGACGTTTGGCACAGACATGATGTCATCCTGCTGTTAACGTGCTTCCTGTTGTCCTCTGTCCTCCTGCTGCTTCCTGTCTGATCTGAAGGAGAGGAGCAAAGTTTATCAGTGTTGATCGCTCTGATTCAACTGTGGCTGATCTCAGACCAGCTGATAGGTAGGACTCCAGTCTGTCCACCTGTCCTCCAGTCTGTCCACCTGTTCTCCAGTCTGTCCATCTGTCCTCCAGGCTGTCCATTTGTCCTCCAGTCTGTCCTCCAGTCTGTCCATCTGTCCTCCAGTCTGTCCTCCAGTCTGTCCACCTGTCCTCCAGTCTGTCCTCCAGTCTGTCCACCTGTCCTCCAGTCTGTCCACCTGTCCTCCAGTCTGTCCACCTGTCCTCCAGTCTGTCCTCCAGTCTGTCCACCTGTCCTCCAGTCTGTCCTCCAGTCTGTCCTCCAGTCTGTCCACCTGTCCTCCAGTCTGTCCTCCAGTCTGTCCATCTGTCCTCCAGTCTGTCCACCTGTCCTCCAGTCTTTCCTCCAGTCTGTCCACCTGTCCTCCAGTCTG